AAAAATAAAATTCTTTGATAATATTGATAAATTTCTAAAATTTTAAATTTTATAAAATCTTAAATAATAATATCAATGTTTATATGAAAGTAAAACTACATTATTAACAAATAAAATTGTTATGGTTATGGTTTTGAAATGTTGCATTTTTTAAAAAAATTTGGTTTACTATTATAATTATACTGTATGTTATTTAATAATAATTAAAATTTTTTAATAATTTAAATAAATTAATAACACATGACTAATTTAAAATCCTATTCAAATTTGTCGCATTACAGAAACATGTACGACGTCGATTTATCAAAGTTAACTGTACAACGATATGTGACACATACGTAAGACATTTAAGTTATCACAATATTAAGATACTGCGTAATGTTATAATATTTACGTTCATTAAACTTTATCATAACAGAATTGGTCATTCGAATAATATTAAATATTGATCAAGATTGATAATTCAGTTAAAAACATAATGCTGGCTATTACCGTTCCAGTGGAATTAGAGTGAAAAAGAAGAACGTAAAAAATTTAAATATTATTAAAAATCAGTCTAGATGGGCAATTCATTGGGAACATATAATGTTGGCTATCGTTATCAAAATGGAATTGGAGTTGAAAAGAATGAATACAAGGCATTTGAATATTATCAAAAATCTGCCGAGATAGGTGATGCATCGGGAACATATAATGTTGGCTATTGCTATCAAAATGGAATTGGAGTTGGAAAGGATAAATATAAGGCATTTGAATATTATCAAAAATCAGCCGAGATGGATGATGCTAAGGGAACATATAGTGTTGGATATTGTTATCGAAACGGAATTGGAGTTGAAAAGAATGAATATAAGGCATTTGAATATTATCAAAAATTAGCCGAGATGGGTGATACTAAAGGAACATATAATGTTGGTTATTGTTATTATAAAGGAATTGGAGTTAAAAAGGATGAGTATAAAGCATTTGAATATTATCAAAAATCAGCCGAGATGGGTAATGCATCGGGAATAAATTATGTAGGTTATTGTTATCAAAATGGAACTGGAGTTGAAAAGGATGAATATAAGGCATTTGAATATTATCAAAAATCTGCCGAGATGGGTCATACTAAGGGAACATATAATGTTGGCTATTGTTATGATGAAGGAATTGGGGTTGAAGCGGATGAATATAAAGCATTTGAATATTATCAAAAATCAGCCGAGATGGGTCATGCTAAAGGAACATATAATGTTGGCTATTGTTATCAAAATGGAATTGGAGTTGAAAAGGATGAATTTAAGGCATTTGAATATTATCAAAAATCTGCCGAGATGGGTGATGCTAAGGGAACATGTAATGCTGGTAATTGCTATCTCAATGGAATTGGAGTTGAAAAGGATAAATATAAGGCATTTGAATATTATCAAAAATTAGCCGAGATAAGTAATGCTAATAGAATAAACTATGTTGGCAATTATGATCTCAATGGAATTGGAGTTGAAAAGGATGAATATAAGACATTTGAATATTATCAAAAATCTGCCGAGATGGGTGATGCTAAGGGAACATGTAATGTTGCCGATTGTTATCTCAATGGAATTGGAGTTAAAAAGAATGAATATAAGGCATTTAAATATTATCAAAAATCTGCCGAGATGGATGATGCTAAAGGAACATATAATGTTGGTCATTGTTATCAAAATGGAATTGGGGTTGAAAAGGATGAATATAAGGCATTTGAATATTATCAAAAATCAGCTGATATGGGTGATTTATTGGGAACATATAATGTTGGCGATTGTTATCTCAATGGAATTGGTGTGGAAAAAGATGAATACAAGGCATTTGAATATTATCAAAAATCAGCCGATATGGGTGATTCATTAGGAACATATAATGTTGGCTATTGTTATCTCTATGGAATTGGGATTGAAAAGGATAAATATAAGGCATTTGAATATTATCAAAAATCAGCCGAGTTAGGTAATGCATCTGGAACATATAATATTGGCTATTGTTATGATAAAGGAATTGGAGTTAAAATGAATGAATATAAGGCATTTGAATATTATCAAAAATCAGCCGATATGGATAATGCTAAAGGAACATGTAATGTCGGTAATTGTTATAGAAATGGAATTGGAGTTGAAAAGGATGAATATAAGGCATTTAAATATTATTATAAATCAGCCAGTATGGGTAATCCTAAGGGAACATATAGCGTTGGCTATTGTTATAGAAATGGAATTGGAGTTGGAAAGGACAAATATGAGGCATTTGAATATTATCAAAAATCAGCTGAGATGGGTTATGTGAAGGCAATGCTTAAGGTTGCTGAATCTTATAGAAACGGAATCGGAGTCCCGCGGAACTTACAAATGGCTACTCATTGGTATCAAATGTAAGGAAGTTATTTTAGTTTATCATTATGGTTACTATTAATTAACAACAATATGTAAAGGATTAGGGAAAGAAATAAACTATTAGGTAAGCATTGAGGCATTACTATTCTATTATTCATACTATTTATTCAGAATCCAATAATTTAACTATTTTGTTTTGAATGAATCGATACATAAAACTCAGATATCGATAATGAACTCAAAAAAATACTTGACGAAAGTAATTATCCATTACATTGGATTCCTTTCAAGAAATTTAATAACATTAAGAAGGTAGGGCAAGGAGGATTTTCAACTGTGTTTTCTGCTCTCTGGGATAGCAGAATAGTCGCACTTAAATTACTTCACGGATCAAAAGATATTCACAAGGGGTTTATAAAGGAGGTAGTTTTATTTAATATTTTGAAGTTTTCAAATTTTTAGATTTTACTTATATCCTTTTTCTTGTAAATTAAGCTAAAAGCTCTTTGTGACATTGGTCTTAAATACCCTACATTTTTAAAATGCTATGGAGTGTCTAGAGATGACGCTTCTAAAGATTACATTATTATTACTAAATATGCATCAATGGGTTCTTTGCGTGATAACCTTTATTCAGCAGCACAAGCTAAATGGAAAGATAAGTTAAAACTGTTGATTTCTATAGCTTCTGATATTCAAATAATTCATTCGCAAAATTTTATTCACCGAGATTTACATAGTGATAACATACTATTAGACAATTTATCTAGTGCTTATGTTGCAGATTTGGGTCTTTTATTGTCGATTGATACAGAATCCAAAGGAGTTTATGGTGTTTTACCATACATAGCACCGGAAATTTTTTATGGAAATCCATATACTTTAGCATCGGATATTTACTCATTTGGAATAGTTATGTGGGAAGTTTCTTCTGGAAAGGCTATGTCTTTTAACCAAGTATCTGGAAATCAATTTCAAATTCAAGTATGCAATGGCTTTCGACCAACTATTATAAAAAATATACCACAGTGTTATATAGACCTTATGAAAAGATGTTGGAATGGAAATCCGAATAATCGTCCACTCGCCGAAGAAATTTGCAGAACTTTTAAAGAATGGCAAAATGATGAAAATTTTTTAACGGAATCGACAGAGTTTGATAAAATATTAGAAAATATAGAAAATCTTCACGTACAAACGTGTGCAAAAACGACCTACACAAGTGAATTTATTCCTTATATAGCAGGTAAATTATATTATGCATTATTATTATTTTATCATATATTTAATTAACGCTACTTATACATTATAGACAGTCAACAATTTAATTTACGTATTAAATAACACGATATATGTCTCTGAGTATTCTTCATAAATAACATGTTATTCATTTATAAGAATGCATAAGCATGACTTTAAGTGCTTTATACTTAGACTTTCCTTAGAATTAATTACCCGTGTGACTGTATCAATTTATTCAAAAATTAACTGTCATTTGTAGTAATAAATAACTATAGATATGGGTAAATTTTCGGTGTTTGTGTAATTGAAAATCATCCGAATGGAAAGTGAGAATGATTTACAGAAGTGAAGGTAACTTTATAAATTAGTTAGGTACAGTAATTAGAATAAAATGACTGGTGGTTTGCATTTGCCAATCCTCTCTTGGTTATTTTTAGTCTTATCCCTTCCTTAGTCTTATCCCTGCTAGATAACTTAATTATTTTAGTTTAACTTAAATTCTACTACCATAAACCACTGTATACAATATCCACCTAAAATATTACTCTTCTTTAATAATATTGGATAGTATTTAAAAAAACTGTTACTTAATGATTGATTATTGTGTTTAGATGGTTGTTATGTATACTCTCCTCTATTTAATAAAATACTTCCCCCGAGTATTGTATGCAGTGGTTTACGGTAGTTATCTTTTTAAGATTACAAGTATAAAAACAAGATAAACTAAGCTTATAGGTTAGAATTTCTTCTTTATTGTGACCATATCTCCTATTCACTCTTCCTGGACACATTATAACTAAGCTCAAATATGCCATATTCTTACCCAATGCCCCGCTATATTATTCCGAGATGCATTGCATTTCTTGACATTTGCCCTACTATTATATACTTGCCTGATATTACTTGTAGTTGTTATAATTACAACTAAATACATAATTTTTGTTGATTTGATGCAACATCTATGTTATAATCAAACAAGTTTAATGATGTTTTAAAGCATACAATATATATATATACATATATACCTCCCTAAATGCACCCTCTATAAATGCATTTACTATATTTTCTCTCTCTAAATGCACAGTCAAGCTTGGTCCCAAGTACATAGAACTCTTAATAAAACTACCTCCATAAATGCACACCTATAAATACACATTTTTCAAAAATTTTCCTATGATCTCGAGGGGTGTGCATTTAGAGAAGGTTCACTGTATATGGTCATTAAAGTGAATGTAATAATTATGTATGGACCCTGATTTATTAAAAGTAAAAGGAACAAAAAAGCTTTTTTTGATGCAATAAACTAATATGTATCCGAAAAAGATTTATTCAAGTTATTTAAAAAATTAACAATGCATTATGTATTTAACAATATCTATGATTTTCTATGGTGAATAACGTATTAAATTTTTATACACTATTTCTTCTACGAACTCTATTTCTCTTAACATTATCATGACCCTGATCTAACAAATTTCCGAGTTTTCCCTCCTCCTTGAATTTTTTCAGCATCTCTTTACCAGCTTTGTACCCAACTTCAAATATCTCATCAAACTTATTAAACTCTAATGTGCCATATTGTTGTACTGGCAATTTCATATACAAACATCCTGGTATTAACTTCGCTTCTTCCAACGTTTTAACACTTGACACATAGGCTAACCTTGATTGTATGTCGGCTATCGTTGGTATTTTGGCAGCTCGATTGAAGGGATTCCATCTAGTTAATAATACCCACCATCCTGAAATAGAATCCCCATAATATACTGGTGATGTGTCATCGTTACTTGCAACATCTACCGCAAATATTGTATCGGCCCCCATAGATTTCATCACGCTGACCTTTAATTTAGAATGCTCATTAATACTTTGACACAAAAAATTTTTGTTTGAACTTTATTGGCACACAATTATCTATAAAATACCCAACTGGTAAATTATCCATATATCCGCCGTCGACAAGCAAATGACCGTTGTCGCAGAGTGGTGGCAAGAAAGCCGATAATGACATGGACGCCCGGATATATCTCCACGCATATCCCCACTTGTGTACTTCCATACGTGACCACGTGATATTGGTGGTAACGCAAAAGTATGATAGCCAGAAGTCTTCAATTTGTGTATCCAAAAATATTTTCCAAATGCCTCTGTTAAATCCGTGACCTAAAAAAAAAAAAAATTAACGATGTAGATGATGAATATGAATTCAATGATGACTTGATCAATGTATGACTGGAAAATATACCCGTAAACCACGCTGTCACCGGATATGTCAGATCAAAGATTTGTCTCCATTTACTGCTCATCCTTGCTGCAAACGCTTTGGCACGTCCGAGAATTGCGACATTATCAGAATCACGTGCATAAAGCCCGCCTATGAGAGATCCGATGCTTGTACCTCCGACCATGTCTATTGGAATACCAGCTTCATCCAACGCCTTGATGACCCCTATGTGCGATATGCCTCGTGCACCGCCTCCACCCAAGACTAAACCAACGGATTTTCCACAAAGACGACGTGCGAGTCTGCAAACGAGTCATGCAAGTTAAGAACATTGCTTTCGAATCATTTTTAGACAGTATAAATAAAATTCAACAAATTGTAATCGTGTACCTTGAGAAATCGCTGCGATTACCAGTATATATTGCCGGTGACCTTTTTCGAGTATAAAATTGTCGTATTTGATCCCTGAGTGTCATCAAGGTGTTTTTTCGAGACTCTTCTAACATTGTTGGCTTTTTTATGGTCATCTGAACGTGATGGTGTGCGTGAATCCAGTGACGATTCTAGATACAATATAAATACAATAATGCATGAATTAATGCGATTTAGTTATGATGAGTGAAATTCGAACTAAAAATTCAATACCTTTAACCACTGACGAGTAGTTCCGGATGAACAATACCTCTCGGGATGAAGCAGTACGAGTTCTTTTCGTGCGGTTGTTTTTGTGCCGATCAAAAGGCTTTCGTATTCCCCAATGGTCGCATCCCCGTCGCCTAACCCGACCAAGAAAATACAATCAGCCTAAAAAAACAATATGTCATCGTGTGTCAATTGACCAGAATGATCGCCATCGTTAAATAAAATTTAATCAAAAGTACATTACCTGGCGAATGCAATTTTGAGTCCAAGATGAATTAAGCCCGCCGTCAGCCAAGTATAGCACGATTCGAGATTTCTCTTCTTGTTCAGCCAACCAACTAATGAGCTTCAATCGACCCATCTGTGTGAATGCGTGTTTACCCAACACCGCCACCACGGAAGCTTGATTTAAGAGTGTTGCAGTCTCCCCGGATCTTTCTAGGGCAACCTTCAGTTTTTTCGCAAACTCTCCAACGGGCACATTTCCACTGACGGGCAATATACCAACGGTTTTAAGGTTTTTGTTGTTTTTACCAAACTCGGCTCCTGCATTCTTGTGATTATAATCTTGATCCTGTTGTGAACGTGTCCTTGACGCGATAATGCGTGAAATCTGCAAAGTAATTTCAGGATGACGAAGGGCGAGTGCGTTGAATAGGGTTCTTGGCATTCTGGCTAATTCTGTGTCACGAATCGCGTGTAATGTATGTGGACGAGGCGTTCCCGCTAAAAAAAAAATCATTTATTAACAAACGCAATTGGATGCGAGTTGCATGCAGAAAAAAAGAAGCAACTTACTCATAACCTCCAACTCCCCCACACTTTGACCTTGACCGTATTCTCCCAAAATATCAATTACTCCGTTTTGTTGTTCATTGATGGTACGCACACGACCGTTCAACACGATATAGATCGAATCGCTTAAATCTCCTTCACGATATAAAACTTGTCCAGCATTTACATGCACCCAGTCGAGGGCATAATCGATGTGGAGGACTAGAATAGAAATGCACGAAAATGTCAAGAGTCATTAGCACGAAAATTAAGCAGAGGAACGACCGAAGACAAGCCGTGGCACAAACCTAATGGGGACAAAAGTCTTGTCAATCGCTTGGCCAAAGTAAGGAGTACGATGGGATTCCTTTCCATTATGCGATTCAACGAATTCTTTGGCAAGAATCCAACATAAGTATCCGTGCTAGCCCGAATGCTGACAAAGGATGGGAATCCGGTCAATGCAGCTAGGTATCCGGCGATTCCACCAGGTTTGATCATGAACAAACTACGATCCCTCGATCTGTTTGAAGAATTAAATGAGATTGACTCTTTCTTTTTATGCATAGGTTTGATCGGACTACTCGGAATCGATCCGCTGGTATCCAAATGTGAAAAAGAACTCCCGAGAAAATCTTTGTCATTCGAAGTAACAGACACATCCAGGAGACCATCGATCACAAAAAACAACCCCACATCCCGTTCGCCTTCAGTAACGATAACAGAACCTTTGGGATAATACAAAATTTCCACGTCATTGTCCAATTCACTGGTCAGAGAAGGTACGGTTTCTGCGACCGAGTCGTCATCAGGGATGTCTAACGCGGTCGTACTACTGTGAGCACTACTCGTGGAATACTTGGTAAACGGCGAGTTATTCGATTCCACGGAACTCGGTCGAGATTTTTGATCAAACGAATTGATCTTCTCTTTGTGATTTGTTTGTAAAAGGCCAATTCCTTTAGAGATACCTTCAAGGACGGACTCCTTGAGATACATTTCGTCTCCGGCATCATAGTCACGCCCACCAACCTGAGGACCGCTCGTGGGCTGTACGCGAGTAGGAGCGACGAGGTATTTTGAGTTGGAATATGAACGACCATTATCTTTATTTGTCAGAGGGATGTTCTCGTTGTTTTCATCGCTTTCGTATATGACCTGAGGCCTAGCGAACGGCCTTGTTTTTTTAACCTTGTTAATCAAGCCGCTATCGCTCATTTCCATGTCTTCATTGCGATTGTCCTTAATGTATTTCTTGTTGCTACCCACATGCTTCATACGAAGACGTTCCATGATACCGGGCCTAAAAAAATCGCTAGGAAGACCGTGGCTCGCGATCTCGTTCATTAACTTTTCTGTCCTCAAGAGATCTTTCGTTAGTCCCAGATATTTATACCCGGTCCAAAACGTAACGCGCTGAAACCGCGTCAGAATTACTTGAACAATGTGAGCAGCGGAATTGGGAAATTTTTCGGTCAGTCGATGAAATGCTTCGGCAGGAATAAAAGCCAAAGTGGTGTCCACAGTTGCCCTCGCGATGATATTTGGTTGAACGGATGTGGTGAGCCATGACTCCTTAGAAAGGAGTTTCAAGATTTGCGGACTGATTTGACCGAAAGACTTTTGAGTTTTCTCCGCATCATCCGATTTATTATCCGATTTATTATCCTCTTTAACCTTGGAATCCGAATCCACCTCTTCCTTTGCCGTACTCTCTTGAACCAAGGTGTCGCCATCAATTTTTATTCTATCAGCAAGGTTATTGTCGTAACTGTCATCGTAACGAAGTTCAATATCTTCGGTGAACAAAGAGAGAATTGTGAATAAGCTTGATAAGGTGCCCCCGTCTGTGACCTCATTCAACAGTTGGTAGCCGTGATTGTTGTTTTCAAATGGATCGATCACAATGCCTTTTTCATTTGCCGTCTTCACAAACACCTTAACATGACCTTCAACCACGATGTAGAAAGATCTCTCTTTCTCTAAAATCAGGGTTTCGCCGGCCGACAACTTCCTTGTTTGCAACTGTCTCTTTAGTTCGTGAAAGATCGGCTTTTCCAAATAACCAAAAACCTTTATACCCTCGAAAAAGGCACTCAACAATTCGTCAGTGTAAAGGGTTTGAGACTTTTCATTTTCACCGGAGGCATTTGGTTGCAGATCGAAAGTAGCACCTTGTGCCTGGAGCGATTCTTTTGGAAGACGCGAATACTTTGTGAGGATTCGGTAACGAATAACGATGTATCCTATGGTGGAACATAGACCAAAGAACACGAGCAAGGTGACAAAGTTGAGTTGAAGAGTAAATGACCAGGACAATAATTTAATGATCCAGGTCGAGAGAGTGATGGTAACAAAGGAGACCAGGAAAAAGAACCATCTGAGCAAGGTGGAAAAGGTAAAGATGGTAATTGTGTAAATGTCAGTTTCCGAAATGTGGTCGACTGGTAAGGTCGTATTGATTCCCATTTCTACCTTCATGGTCGATGAAGCCTAGAAATTAGGAAAAGATACCGTCGAAAGAAGAAATTCACTAACCGTATTGAAGCCACTTGTCTTCACGGTCAGCAGGTTATGTCCGCGATTCTTATGCATCAACTGGTGTCGTTTTTGATCAATTTAATACGTGCGCACATACGTAACATAGGTAATGTGCGTTATGTTGTGTCCGAGTCACATAATAGAATTAGAAAAGGGCAATGTATCACATGTTTTAAAATGGGACTTTATTAAATTTCTATCATGACGTATGTGCTGGTTAATATAAAAAAAAATAAACTATATATAACGACCAAAACATATTAAATAAACATAATAGTAAAATTATAATTGTTGCGAGTTGGCTTAAAATACTTCTAGGGTATTATTATTATTGGTGTTGACCGTGTAAGGGGTAGAATTTTTATTGTCATCAACGTTTGGACTTTTATTCGCACGAGTAACTAACCACTGAATATAGTCGTCAATCACTTTGTCTTTTTCAATCTCATTGTGCACTAAGAGAAATTAATTACAAGTGATTAACAGTTCCGAACGTACAATGTATGAATAACGATAACCAAGAAAATTCGGAAGACACGTACTTTCATGATAAAGCCCTTCCCATTCGCGATAGGTTTTATCTTTTGATGAAATTTTATCATATAGTTCCTTCGACGATTTTGGACAAGTTATCAGATCAGCTGAACCGTGACAAATGTAAATTGGCGAAGTTATGGATTTGTATTTCTTGTCCAAGATTAATTTTGCACCACTTAGCATTTCTCCAACTTGAATGACATGAATAAATATTAATTAGTATGATTAGAAGCAATTCGCAAAAAAAAAAAATGAAAATGAAAAATGAAAATGAAAATACGCACTTCCTCTTAAGGTGCTGGCCCTAAGGATCAACGGGTCCTCCGAGTATTTTTTGACTTCTTCTGGGTCGTGACTCGTGGTTTTTGGATCCAAGGGGATAGATATGGTTAGGCTTGGTAACAGTTTGCTAACGATGTTGCCGATTGTTACCAAATTATGATTTACTCGATTTTGCACGGGTTGTTGAATTAGCGGAGAGGAAATAATGAAACCTGTCAAATTGTTTTTTTCCGGACCGTCACAAGCATAATTCAGAGCCAAGCCGCCACCCTGTGACATAACTACAATTAACCGCTGTGGTAAAAGAAGAGTAAAACCGCTCAAGGTCTACGTTAACAATTTACCATACTGTGACCCATTAGAAATTGAGGAACTCCCGGTCTTCTTTGGGCTATAAGAGCTTCGGTGATATCATTGGTGACAACCTTCCAACGACTAGTGACCCCAGGATTATTATTCTTTATGGCGGTTTGACCAAAACCACGTTGATCAAAGGCATAAACTTCAATGTTCTCTTTGGAAAATTTTTCGAACACATAATCATATCGATTAATGTGCTCAGCAAAACCGTGGAGAAACACTACGGTAGCAATTGGTGGCTCGGAAACCGCCTGCGAGAACGAAAAATTAATGGTTTAAGGTTTTTCTTTGTGGAGGAACTTGTAAAAAAAAAAAAATAGCTACCTTCCAAGTTTTTGTATATATTTCGGTACCGTCTTTAGCAACTATCCACTTATCAATAATTTTTTCGTTGGTAGTCATCTTTTCGGAGGGATACCTTGGGATGAAAAGGGAAAACGTATAATTTATTTCCACAAAAGTTTTCGCGCTTCATTTTTATTAATTTTCATGTGATCTACTGAAAATCGATGCATGGCAACACAGGAATCATTATTCAGAAAGAGATACAAAAAGTATCAGTAAGAGATAATCTTTCGTAATTTATACAATTTACAAATTTAGTTGTAAATAAGCGCCATCCAGACATGTGACTAAAAAAAAAGTAATATCTGGGTAGACTTTTCACGTAAACATATGAGAATATAACGATAAATTATCGTCTTATGCCAAACAAAGGAGGATTGGACTTTAGATTAATCAATTTCGGAAAGTTAACCATGTTCGGATAACACACCCTTTTTCCCTTTATATATGTATATTTGTTTACAAATGTCTTCGGTAGAGACAATAACGACGAGAAAAGTAATCTAAATCTGATATGATTGATATACAGTAAATGACTACACTACACCCCTCCTGACAATAAAGCTCGACTGATCATTCATTTATCTGAAACTCATTCTACTTTGGAATTTCTCGTCGCTTCACCACTAGCGGTATTACCTCCATCATCACCGCCGTTGGTCGGATTACCGAAAATCGACAACCCATACTTGGACAGATCAATGCCCTTGGTATTGGGTAAATGTTGATGTTCGTTGAGCTTCCTTGATAAAAGGTTGGTAACGAACAATGCAACGGATATCCAGAAAAATGAGAAACACGTTAGGAAGAATGCGAAGAATAAAGCCGCCAACAAGAGTAGGCCTGCAATGAAAAGGAGTTAAGATATGCGAGGTTATGAGGTTATGAGGTTATTAAATTCGAAATCAAATTTCTTCCTCAAACCCACCGGCACCGCCAATCATGAATCCCCACATGAGCGCACCGGTGCACAGAGCACTACCCATTGTTATGATGGTGGTAAAGATGGAAAATATCGAGAAGCAGAACAACGGAATTGCGGAAAACACGATGAATATGGCCAGAAAAAGCTATCATGTTACGTACATGCGCACGAAAAGGTAAAAAGGTGAATGGTGAAGAAGGGAGATGATGTGAGTTGTGGACTAAAGAATTGTTCAGTGGATGACAAGTAATAAATGTCATACACCGAGAAACGGATGTTCCATGGTGAAGGCGTGGTAATTCGCGTACATTTTTTCTGCATGGATTAACATTCTATTCATACACCAAATAAATTAAAAAACTTCCGAATTAGTAAATCAAAATGGAATAAAGAAATCTCATGGAATTTTTCGAATATTTGTAACTGTAGTCCACCTTTCACCTTTAACTTTCAAGTCGTCAACCCAATTGTATTCGCGGCGAATTTGGATTGGCGGTGAGATTTCTGGACGAGACGGCATCGCTCCCTCCCCGAGATTCATGTTTACAAATGATTTACGCATTTTGCTGAACCTGCCTCGTGGTCAATCGAATAAATGGTTTTTTGGAGAAACGGTATAATCATCTATTTAAATAAATGCGCTTGTCACTTGTAATGCCTAAAATTCGTGTGTCACCTACACAAATAAAGAAAAATTGTATTAAAATAGGTATAATTACGGACCTCATGAGGAATAAACGATCGACATTTTAAAGTTTGTGATATGTCATACTGTCCAGGTGGCCACGAATCATAAAAAATTTTTTTAATAACAAATGCCAATCGTCACTTCAATATTCGGCAAAATAATTTTATATGAAGAGTACAATGTATAGTGTATGATGGTAATTAACGAGAATGCTTCTATTTTTGGATGCCAATAAAGTTTGTATGCTTTTCCAAATCAATCTCTTTACACATGATCTTTAATATTAGATAAAATGGAAATTTAAAATATACGCATAACGATAAGGATAAATAAATTTAATTACGCATTCATTTCAAATAAAAATGCTTATCAAATTATTATTATTGCGTATTTTAATTGAAAAATTAATTTAATATAATTTACATATACTGTATAACTACGGTATATTAATTACTTTTTATTTTTTGCAACTCGCACTTTATTAATTATTAATAAAAATTCGAAAAAAAAATAAAATACAAATACAGTTTTTGAAAAACTATGTTTTAATAAAATATTAATTATATGATATATATGACATATACCATATATTGAAAATTGCATTAAACTTATCTTATTTGTAAAAAATAATTATTATTATTAAAAACTATATAGTGTATTTAAAAATAAACAAATAAATATAATTTAATCTATATTATTTATTACAATATATTAATTGAATAATATGTTATATAATATATGATGTAATAAAATTTTTGAACTATATTTTTATTAACAAAAAAATATAATTAAAACTTTCAATTTTTATATAAATTCATCCAAATATTAAAAATATTACATTTCGAATTTTTGAAGTCAAAATACTTTAATTAAAATAATATTATCTTAAAAACTATAAAAAATAAATTTAAAGTTATCATTTTATTTTTAAAATATTTCAATGATTTTTAAAATACTATATATACTATAGCTTGATAAATATATTTTTCTTAATATATTTTTTATTACTTCTATAATAATTTATCAGTATTATAAATTTAATATAATAAATTACAACTCATATACTAAATTTATTATAAGTTGATATCAAGTCAATACTATTTTGATACTTAATTTAGAACTATTCATATCTTTTCTTTTTTTTTCTTTTTTTTTCTGCTGAAACTAAATTTTCTTTTCTTCTTAACAGTTTTTCTTTTTAGATTTTTCTTATTTAAAAATTCTATATTTTATAATATTATTTCTCTAATTAATTAATTTTTTACTTTCTCAAGAATCATATTAAGAAATAATAATTTTTTTTAAGATATAAGCTTTAAAAATTTTTTTCTTTCATAATTTCTTTAAAAAAAAAATTATTTATTTACTTTCTTCAAAAAATTAATATAATAATTGTTATCAAACTCAATATTGTTTACTAATTGATAGTTAAATTAAATATATTTAAAAAACCTTTATATAATTATTATTATCTAAAAATATTCAAAAAAATTGTATTTTATAATATCCAGAACAATATAATAGTCAATATTAATATAGTTAACAATATGTTAGGTTTATTATAAAGTAATTAAAAATTTTAATAAAGTAATATATAATAATTAAAAATTCTAGTTACTCTTACAAATAAGTTGATAATAATAATAAAAGTTTCTTATTTATCTCTTAAATAATATAAATCTATTATACAAAATTAAATTTTAATATTATTAAAAAAACTAATATAAACTTTATCTATAAGACTTTTCTATTACACTTAAAGTATTATATATTAAATTGTTTTTATAACTTGAAAACAAACCTATATAAAGTAATTACAATATATTTATGCAAAAAGATATTTATTATTTACTATCTTTAATATTATTCTACTTGTTATATCAAGTTATATTTAAAAAACAGATACAGTATATCAATTTTAATTATAACTTAGAAGTTAATCTATATAAATTAATTGCAATATTTTTATATAATTAAATAGTTATTTCTTTTAAATAATTAAATATTATATAAGACCTATAGATCTATAGTACAGTGGTAATGCTCCATAGATCACCAGAAGAAGGTCTAGGGTTCAACCTCGCCTGATTACAAAAATTTATCACCTTCATAATTGGTTAACCAGCTTCCAATTCATGTTGTATCCAATTAACCAACAAAATCTATCTTCAAATTTAGTTAAGCTGCATGAAGATGAGACTTCTGGTCTTTCCAACGATCGTGAGCTGAAAACAGGTCGAAGCAAGAAAGGTTGCACAAGGAAAGGCTTCTGGTCTAACTCCGGTAATAAGCCCATAAACTCTAATCCAAACTGGTGACGACAGACTCCATCACACAATATAAAGAGGTTAATTCTAAACTGATCTATCCCAATCTGAAGCTTGTAGATCTATCCCAATGGTGGTGTTCTACAGAACTTAATAATATGGCCGATGGGCAAGGTATCAGCCACAGGTGGTAAGAAGACTAGACAAAAATCATTAAGCCAAGTAAGTCTAATGAGGATTTACAAGATTAAATTGAAATCCAAGCAAGAATGCCAATTCCACAGGTGGTGAAAGCGGTAGTGTTGCGCTATGCTAGTGACACATCCCGAGGATCAATGATAACAGGTGATCAGAATGACTGGGGTTAATTTCTATAATTAATATTCCATATACACTGCTCTCTGCAATAATGAATCAGCAGGTTTAGGCAGGTTTAAACTAGTGGTAAAATTCCCTCCCCTGCGAAAGTCCCACCTAACGTGTGGACACATTTACTTGATATTGAATATATAGTTAGGTAAAAAAAGTAGTTAGCGTAGCTAGTCTTATAATAATATATGCACTAGGCAGTATTAAACTGCAAATTAACTGTAGAGACATAAAGAGTATTTATATACCAACCGATTTTCAGTTAGTTTGTAGAGACACTTGGTGTCTGTCTGGATATTAAATGTATCAATAAAGATTACATGCCGTGTGCACATTCCACTTTAAAAAAAAAAAAATTAAATATTATATAAAACAATAATATAAATTTTAAAAAAATTTTTTTTGTATTTCTTGAATAATATTCAGAAGTATAAAATATAATTATTTTATATAAATTTTGCATTAAACTTTTTTAATAAAAAAAATATATATTATATTATAAATATTATATTTTTTTTTGCAAATAAAAATACAATAAATTTAATAAAGTATGATAACTATACATGTTGCTGAAATTCGTAGATTCTTGACGCAATTGACACAATTATTTAATGCAATTAATTGAGTCACTATTAAAACATATAAATAATTGAGTCATGACACAATTATTTTTGAGGATTTTGGAAATTGAGTCAACAGCAAAATAATTTATGCCACATGTATAATGATAACTATTTGCTCTTTTAAATAAATATATTGTTGGTAGTAAAACGGCAAGTCTATCACTTGGGGCAGGTCAAACTCGTATAACATTGGAGATAGATTGTTCTCCTTTTCTTTACTCGAGGCATGGATTTGACTTAGCCAATCTTGAACCTATAATTAACCTTCTTCTTTCCTTTGTCACCTTTTGTCAATTGTTCGAGTCACTATCCCTTTTAGTGACTACCAGAATGATCCTTTCACGGTAACGTTACTCTAGAAAGAGGGGTTAATTGCCAATTTCCTTTTTAGGTGCGTCCATTATACCACCACTTATAGTAACTGTAATTAACACTCACACGATCATTTCACGCTTCTACAAGAATGGTAATTATGTTTATTACTTTTTTGTGTTAAGTTTCTGTTGTTTCTTTTTTTTATTCTCGCTCTCTTATTTATATCATTATAACTATTTGCTATAGGACTATAACTTTATGACTTATAAACTATCAGATTATAAAATAAACTATCTAAACTTTTCATTACATTATGTGTCTATTTCTAAAGCATTTCTGTTACTCTGATTAGGCGCGTTACATGGACGTCATATCATTAGGCCTTACTGAAACAATTTCCCCGCTAATAATATATATATTGTGATAGAATAGATATGGCCTTTCTACCAGATATGATTGATCAATCTGACCAACCTGATCAATCTGACCAACCTGATTGACCTGACCGACCTGATCAGACAGAACAACCTAAACGACCTAAGCAACATGATCAAGGATATCAGGCATATCTAAATGAACTGGCATATCTTGTCGCTTATTTATTATTT